CTGCCCTGGGGACAGTGTGACAGCTTTGTCAGGGACAGAGCAGAGACCGGGTTGGGGCCTAGGGAAGACCCCCGAGAGAACACACAGAGCCCCGGTGCCTGTGAGCTGGGCTGAGAGAAGCAGATGCTGGGGCGGTCTGTTTAACACAGCAGATTCAGACTTGATCCACTGTCACATGAACATCCCTTCATCTTAGAGGTTCTCTCACAGAGACTTCTGTGAAGAAGAACTAATTTTACAGAAAACAAAACTGCACGAGGCTCCACGCCTGCATTTTCTCTCCAAGCACTCAGCCTGCTCACTCACTAAGAAAGAGAGTTGTTCAGTTGTCATTTCTGACTCTCTTGTGACCCCATGGACTGTAGCCCACCAGGCTCCTCTGTCCCCAGGTGCTGGGCCTTTAAAAGCACATAGAGCAAGGTCACCCCGCATGGACCCCAGCTCGATGCCCAGGAACAAGGAGCACACCCCTGCCCTGAGCCCGGGGCCCCGTTGCTGCCAGTCACTGGCAGAGCCCCGCATCACCTGCACCATCAGTTGGCAGGGGGCATGGGCAGCAGTGCAGGATGGCCCCAGGACCGGCCCTGCAGACCCCCCGGAGTCTGACCGTCCTGGGCTTGCAGAACCATCCATCCTCATCACGCCGCCCCCAGAGCCCGCTTTCGGGCCAGCAGCTGCTTGTCATCAAGTCAGTCTCCTTAACGAGGACGAGCGCGGTCTGGAGAGGACCCTGCAGGCGGAGCCAACTGGAGCAGCGACGCATGTCTGGGGCAGACACCAGCCTCCTCCGCGGGCTCGGGGCCCGCTCAGGACCCGCCGGCTGACGGCCGGGTCTCTACCCCACGCAAGGCTGGGGCTGCGGCACCTCCGGGCCTTCTCACACCCCGCTGCCTGCCGCCCCAGGGAAATGCCTCTGCCTCTGTGTCCTCACACCCGCACCCCGACGTCGCCCTCACGCCAGCACCCCAACCCCTCACACCCGCACACCAACCCCTCACACCAGCACCCTAACCCCTCACACCAGCACCCTGACCCCTCATATCCCACACCCTGACTCCTCACACCCGCACACTGACCCCTCACACCAGTACCGCGACCCCTCACACCCGCACCCTGACCCCTCACACCCCTCACACCGATCCCTCACCCCAGCACCCCGACCCCTCACACCCGTACCCCGACCCCTCACCCCAGCACCCTCCTCACAACCCACACCCCGACCCCTCACACCCGCAGCCCGACCCCTCACACCCCTACACCGACCCCTCACCACAGCACCCCAACCCCTCAGACCCCTCACACCGACCCCTTGCCCCAGCACCAACCCCCCACAGCCCACACCCTGACCCCTCACACCCACAGCCCGACCCCACACCCCTCACACCGACCCCTCACTGCAGCACCCTGACCCCTCAGACCCCTCACACCGACCCCTCACACCCCACACCCCGACCCCCTCACCCAAGCACCCCAACCCCTCACATCAGCACCCTGACCCCTCACACCAGTACCCCGACCCCTCACACCCCCACCCTGACCCCCTCAGACCACCATCCCGACCCCTCACACCTCACACTCCAACCCCCTCACACCAGCACCCTGACCCCTCACATCAGCACCCCAACCCCCTCACACCAGCATCCTGAGGAGGTGGGTAGGTGGAGTCAGGTGAGGAGGCACCAGGGGAGAGGGGCTTGTGGTCGCAGAGCACAAGACCACATGCATCCCTCACGTCCTAAAGTCAAGACCTCCTCAGACAGCACTGCTCGTCCCCACACAGCTCTCCAGGCTCCCCTTCAAGTGCCAGGAACTTATGCTCATCCTGTCACTCCCGTGGTCACCCCCCGACCCCAGCCAGAAGTGGGATGGCCATACCCGTGGCTGCACTTCTGCAGAGTAGCCCCAACCTCCACGGTCCAGCCAGGCATCTTTCCAACATCACCTTAGCTGGATGAGTCACTGCAGCCCCACCAGGGACGTGGTACCCACCGGGGCCTTTTGCAACTTTCGCCACTGTGCACAAATTCTCCAAGAATTAGCCCAATTGGCTAGGTACCCACAGTGGTAAATTTTCCATGTTCATAAATGCATCCCCAAGGGTTCTCCTATTTCCCGAAAGTGACAGAGAATCAACTATTTCAGTCCTTCATTAGTTCATTCAATAAATATTTACTGAACTGCTGTAATTTTCCAAACACTGTGTCAGATGTTGGGGAAAGAAATGAATGGGATGCAGTCCATATCCTCAAGGTCATCAGTCAAGCGGATGAACTGGCAAGTTGAAACATGGTTAAGCTGTGGTTTTCCAGTAGTCATGTACAGATGTGAGAGGTGGACCATACAGAAGACTGAGTGTCAAAGAATCGATGCTTTAGAACTGTGGTGTTGGAGAAGACTCTTGAGAGTCCCTTGGACTGCAAGGAAATCCAACCAGTCAATCCTAAAGGAAATCAACCCTGAATATTCACTTAAAGGACTGATGCTGAAGCTGAAGTTCCAATACTTTAGACACCTGATGTGAAGAGCTAACTCACTGGAAAAGACCCTGATGCTGGGAAAGATTGAAGGCAGGAGGAGAAGGGGACGACAGAGGATGAAATGGTTGGATGGCATCACTGGCTCGATGGACATGACTTTGAGCAAAGTCCAGGAGACAATGAAGGGCAGGGAAGACTGGCATGCTGCAGTTCATGGGGTCACAGAGTTGGACCTGACTTAGTGACTAAACAACAATAAGGGAAAACAATAAAATGACAATGGCTTTCTCATCAGAAGCCATGGAGACCAGAAGGAAACGGCACATTTTTCAAGGTCTAAAAGAAAAGAACTATCAAACCAGATTCTACATCAGCAGAAACATCCTTCAGATGAAAGGGTATCAAGACATTCTCAGGTGAGGGGAAAGTGAAAAAACCTGCCATCACCTGATTCACTTAAAGGCTGGCTTCAGAAATTTCTCAGAACAAGGGAGAAAAAAACAAGAAAAGGAATATTGGAGTAGGAAGGAAGACAGAATATCATAAGCAAAAATAAAAGTAAATACAATACAATATTCCTCTTCAATTTTGTGCATTATGCTGATTGAAGCAAAAATTATAACATTATCTGATGTTCTAAATACAAATAGAGAAAATATTTAAGAAAATTATAAGTGGAGGGGAACATTTTATGTATATAATATATAATGTATTAAATACATCATCAAGGGAGGTAAAGTTTCTACCCTGCATCCAAAGTGGTAAAATGATGACACAATTATGTGATAAGTTCTATACGCATATTACTTAGACAAGTCACTAAAAACATCTGTACAGAGAGACACTCACTCAAAAGCACTATAGATAAATAACCACTAAATAATAACTCCCCCTTCTCACCTCCTCCAGCCCCTGGCAACCACCATGGTACCTTCTATGAATTTGACGACTCCAAGCTCATATAAGTGCAGTCACATAGTATTTGTCCTTTGTGATTGGCTTATTCCACTGAGCATCGTGTCCTCAAATTTCCCTACTGGAACCCATGTCAGAATTTCCTTCCTGTTAAGACTGATTCATTTTCCACTGTATGGACGGACCACGTTTTGCTTATCCATGCAACCATTGATGGACACTTAGGTTGTTGCTATGTTACGAACATGGGCTTACAATATCTGTTCAAGACCATGCCTTCAATTCTCTTGGTTATACACCCAGAAGCAGAATTGCTGGGTCACATGCAGGAGACATAAGAAACTCCAGTTCAGTTCCTGGGTTGGGAAGATCCCCTGGAGGAGGGCATGGCAACCCACTCCAGTATTCTTGCCTTGAGAATCCCATGGACAGAGGAGCCTGGTGGGCTACTGTCCATGGGGTCACAAAGAGTCAGACATGACTGAAACAACTTAGCACACAGTAGCTCCATTTTTAATATTTTGAGGAAATGCCACACTGTTTTCCACAGAAGCTGCACCATTTTGCTTTCCACTAACAGAACACAAGAATTCCAATTTTTGCACATCCTCACCAACTCTTGCTGTTCTTCTGACGGTCCCCATTTGAATGCGTGAGAGGCAGTGTCTCTGCAGTTTTCTTTTCTTTTTTTTTTTCCATTTATTTTTATTAGTTGGAGGCTAATTACTTTACATCATTACAGTGGTTTTTGTCATACATTGAAATGAATTAGCCATGAATTTACATGTATTCCCCATCCCGGTCCCCCCTCCCACCTCCCTCTCCACCCGATCCCTCTGGGTCTTCCCAGTGCACCAGGCCCGAGCACTTGTCTCATGCACCCAACCTGGGCTGGTGATCTGTTTCACCCTAGATAATATACATGTTTCGATGCTGTTCTCTTGAAACATCCCACCCTCGCCTTCTCCCAGAGTCCACAAGTCTGTTCTATACATCTGAGTCTCTTTTTCTGTTTTGCATATAGGGTTATCGTTACCATCTTTCTAAATTCCATATATATGTGTTAGTATACTGTAATGGTCTTTATCTTTCTGGCTTACTTCGCTCTGTATAATGGGCTCCAGTTTCATCCATCTCATTAGAACTGATTCAAATGAATTCTTTTAATGGCTGAGTAATATTCCATGGTGTGTTTCTGCAGTTTTCACTGTATGGGTCTTTCTCCTCCTTGGTTAAGTTAATTCCTAAGCACTTTACACTTCCTGATGTTATTGCAAATAAACTGTTTTTGCTCCATCGGGAAGTGCCTGGACCTGTTCCTGGTGGTGTCAAGCAGAAGGAGCTGCTGTGTCGTCTCTGCATTAAAAGGCTTGAACCTTCTGCCTTCTGGAGACATCTGTGGACCCCCACCCCATCCATGGCTCGCGGTGAGCTGCTTCACAGGAGGCTCTTGGCCTCCCCTCACCTGCTGCACACAAACTCACCTGCTTGAGGTGAGGAGAGGACAGGAGACCAATGAGCAAACCGAAACTGCCCGTGAACTGGCAGTTTTCCTAGTAGAACTGACCACCAAGCAGCCATACCTGTACATCTGATTTCTGCCCCTACCTCATGCCCTCCGTGGACTGGTGGCGGTGGTTGCGGTAGAGCTGCGGCACACCCAGCATGGCCTCGGTCAGCACGGCCAGGAAGCCCAGGGTCTCCACAAAAAGGGCCGAGTCAATGGACAGGTAGGTGATGTAGCCCGCCACGCCAGTGAAGGCCAGGACACACTGCACATAGTCCGCAAAGCTGCTCCAGTGCCAGAAGTAGTGCGGGTCGAAGTCTAGAGCAAAAGAGAGAGACATGAACTGGGGGTGGGCTCGAGGGCGAGGCCAGTGTGGGGAGGATGCGGTCAAGGAGGGAGAGGTCAGAGTAAGGAGGACGCAAGCGAGGAGGGTGAGGTCAGTGTGAGGAGGATGCGAGGGAGGAGGGTGAGGTCAGTGTGAGGAGGATGAGAGCGAGGACAGCGAGGTCAGTGTGAGGAGGACACAGGTGAGGAAGACGTGAAAGAGGAGGTGAGGTCAGCGTGAGGAGGACGCGAGTGAAGAGGACACGAGTAAGGAGGGCAAGGTCAGCGTGAGGAGGACGCAAGTGAGGAAAACGTGAAAGAGGAGGGCGAGGTCAGTGTGAGGAGGACGCGAGTGAGGAGGACGCAAGTGAGGAGGGCGAGGTCAGCGTGAGGAGGATGTGAGTGAGAAGGCCGAGGTCAGCATGAGGAGGATGTGAGTGAGGAAGACGTGAACGAGGAGGGCGAGGTCAGCGTGAAGAGGACAAGTATGAAGAGGGCGAGGTCAGCGTGAGGAGGGCGTGATTGAGGAGGGCGAGTTCAGCGGTAGGAGGACACAATCGAGGAGGGTGAGGTCAGCGTGAGGAGGACGCGAGTCAGGAGGCTGAGGTCAGCGTGAGGAGGACGCGAGTGAGGAGGGCGAGGTCAGTGGTTAGAGGACACGGGTGAGGAGGGCAAGGTCAGCGTGAGCAGGATGCGGGTGAGGAGGGCGAGGTCAACATGAGGAGGATGCGGGTGAGAAGGTTGAGGTCAATGTGAGGAGGACGTGACTTAGCATATTCAGGTACTTGAAAAAATATCTGTCCCCCAGTCCTAGGGCTGCAGGACGTCGGCACAAGCCTGGACGGGAGAATGGTGCCCAGAGAAAAGCCTGGCATCACACATGTCCGCCCGCCCCCAGGGAGGGCTCCGGGGTTCACCCTGGCTCCGGCAGGCTGCGGGGTCCACATGACCACCTCCCCCATCTTATTCCCTTCAGGCTGTCACTGTCTCCAGTCTGCTGGTCCCCATCCCACCGTGTCACAGGCAGGTTCAGCAAAGCTGTTTTAGCCAAAAAAATTCATCCATACAAATGCCAGAAACGGAGCACAGCGAAGGGCAGAGGTCACCCCGTAGGTGCTCAGTGGCACCGGCACCCTGTCGAGCCCCTCCCTCAGTGAACACTGAGGACAGGACCCCTCTCTGAATCCATGTGACAGACATGCAGGGGAACACGAAAACCAAACAGTGGGGTTAAGATGGGGGAGAGGGCGTCCCTGGGAGTGTGAGGTTCCCAGAGCCTGGCCGCCACCTGCCAAAGAGCTCGGTTACATGGTTGCCATTTGCCAAATCTGCATAAAGATCTATGTTTACACAAAGAAAATACAAAATTGCATTTTATGTAACTAAACTCATTTGTGACAAAAAACAAAGACTCAGATAAATTTAAAGAATTCCTTTTGAAACACATAGTCAGATGAGCCTTCACCCACTTTCTGCCCCCAGCACAACAGACGGAGTAGCCGCCTCCCATCAGCCTGGCACCCTCGAGGGCCCTGAGCAGGCAAGCGGGTCACGCAGGAGGAACCTCATGCTGGCAGATTGCCCTGCACGTGCCAGCTCCCAGGACTCACTGCTCAGGGACCTGCCTCTTCCGAAGGATTAGAACCAAATAATTCACTTCAAGAGTGGCAACCCTGGTGGCTCAGTGGTAGAGGAGCTGCCTACAATGCAGGAGACTCAGGTTCAACTCCTGGGTTAGGAAGATCCCCTGGAGAAAGGCATGGCAACCCACTCTAGTATTCTTGCCTGGAGAGTCCCACGGACAGAGGAGCCTGGTGGGCTACAGTCCATGGGGTGGCAAAGAGTCAGACATGAGTAAACAGGCACACACAATGCAAGAACCTACGCGACAAGAACATGGATCTTTTTACGGTGGCTAATTGTGTGCTGAGCTGCAGTAATGAGCCTAATTCCTGCTGTTCGGGTTTATAGACCTTCAACCATGTGGGTCAGACTCCACACTCCAGACGGAACTCAGGCATCACAGCTCTCAGATTATTGCCCAGCAGTCCCGCCACCTGAGCACTCACTGCTGCAGCTGTGATGACGGTGTGATCATCGCAACCACCAGGACTGCTGGGACGACCCACCCCAGCAGTAAACCCGACTCCAACGCAGAACCAGAATTCGCCTTCTGCAGCTGAAGCCCAGGCCCACCGGAGGACCACACCCAGGAACCAGCTGGCAGCCCAGGCAAGAGGGCGAGCGGGGCAGGGGGAGGCAGGCGGGACCAGGAGGGGACACTGGGTGTGGTCCCACAGCATCACCAGGCTCCGCCTCTGAGTAGGGGTGGGGGGGGCCTAGAAACAGTTATGCAACTTGCCTACAGTTCTACGGTTAGGAGCCACGGGACCAAATAGACATGGTTTGAATGAATAACTTAAGGGTGTTTTCTCAAAGGGTCCTAATGATTATAATGAGACATCATCATCAATAAGCATGAATTCCAACAAAGGAGTAAACCTGCCCAATTCAATGCTTGTTTGACAAACAGCACTCAAAGAACAAGATCCAGGAGGCTGGTTTGTGCCTCCAAGGCCAGCACCACTTGGTGACCGCTGAGTGCCCTCTCTAGGGGTGCAGGGGTGTCCTCCCTGAGGACAGGAAAGGACATGACGAGGCGGGATCAGAGCTGGTCAGGGGGAAAGAGGACAAGTCACAATCAACTCCCACTTCCAGAAGCCTGTCCCTGCTGTATCTCAGGCAGAGAAACGTCTCTTTCAGGAGCTCCACGGACCACTGTTTCTGACGTTCCAGGGAAAAATACTAGCACCTGGGAGCGGCTGGCCCCTTCCAAGAGGATACATCATCGAAACATGAGAGGAAGGAGAAAGAACCTTCACATGCATTTTAACAATATTTATCACATATCCAAGACAAAAGAGGAAGGCAAAGTGTGATGAGATCAAGGAAACCAAGAGCCCCACAGATGACCAGCTGCATTTCCCAGAATTAACCTCAAGAATGTCTAAAGCCCACAAAAACATCCACCATTCAGCAAACTAAAATTCACAATGTCTGACATCTGATCAACAATGATCATAGAAAATGGTAACTAAGTGGGTGAATATATATGATTTTTTTCTTATCATTTAAATCTTATTAAGAGATAAGGCTCCCCTGGTGGCTCAGATGGTAAAGAATCCTCCTGCAATGCAGGAGACCTGGGTTTTATCCCTGTGTTGAGAAGATCCCCTGGAGAAGGTAATGGCAACCCACTCCAGTATTCTGGCCTGGGAAATCCCATGGACAGAGGAGACTGGTGGGCTACAGTCGAAGGGGTTGCAAAGAGTCAAACATGACTGAGTGACTAGCACACATACACACACACAGGGACTATTTAAACAAAGAAGGACAATGTAGCAGTGGGTTTTAGCACATGTAAAGTTAACCATTTAACAACAATTACACTAAGGTGGGCAGGGTCTAAACAGATATATGTGTTTCCACTAAGATCAGGACCAAAGCAAGCAAGTTCACTCTCATCACTTCTAATCAACACTGTATTGGAGGCACTATCCAGAGCAATCAGGCAAGAAAAGGGGGGAGAGGAAGAAGTAAAACGATTCGTATTCGCAGATGACATGATCTTCTTATCAAATATATAGGGAACCCATTAAAGCCCACGAAAACAAGCAAATGAGCTCAGCAAGATTGCAGGCTATCAGAGCAACTTATAAAAGTAAATTGCATTTCTACATAGTAGCAGTGAACAATCAGAAACTGAAGTTTAAAAGCAATACCTTACACGATACCATATAAATATGAAATACTTAGGGACAAACCTGACAACGTGCAAGATGGGTACACTGAAAACTACAAAACACTGCTGAGGGAAACCAAAGAAGACACAAGTAAGAGGAGAGCCTACGGAGCTCCTATGCTGGAAGTCTCAATGCTGTCGTGTTGAAGCCTCCAAGACCAGCCGCGGGTCTGGTGATCTTCAGGGGGACTCACCCAGCATGCCGGCGTAGTCCCAGCTGTGACACATGGCCACAGGACACACAGCTGAGTCAACGAAGGGAAAGGCAACTGGGCAGCGCCCAGAGAACTCCAGCTATGGCTTCCAGGAGCCTCTCCTCCTCGGATGAGCTTTATCCTCCAGAAACAGACAGAGACCAGGGGAGCTCATCAAGGCCTCAGTGCCCAGAGTTTTTACTGGGGGCTGGTCACATGACACCTTCCGCTTAACACACACTGAAATTCCAAACTTCCAGAAAGACAACAGGTGTCCAGACAACTGAAGCACAAAGAGCACCTCTCGCCAATTCTGGGAACAACGGGAAGTCTCCCAAAATCCAAGTTCCCAGACATCACTCGGGGGCCCACTGGGGAGGCAGGCCTTTCTAAGGACAGCAGCCCCAGGGTGGCTGTGGTAACACTCTCTGCACAATCATAATGATGACTAGTCTTCCCAGATTATAGATTCAAGATAACCCCAACCAAAGTCCTAGCATGCTTTATGTAGAAAGTGACAAATTGACCCTAGAATCCATGTGGAAATGCAAAGCACACAGAACAGAGAACAAAGCTGGAGGACTAACACTACCTGATCCCAACCTCAGTACCAAGCCAGTAATTAGGACAGTGTGGTGCTGGCACAGGAACCAAGAAATAAATCATCAGAACAGAGTCCAGAAACGGACCCACACACAGAGAGCTGACTTCTGACAGAGATGCATAGGTGATGTAGTGGAGGAAAAAGGCAGTCTTTGGACATCCATACGCAAAAGCAGTAAAGTTGAATCCACACCTCACATCAGAAAGAAAAAGTAACTTACAGTTAATTAGATCACAAATCTAAATGTGAAACCTAAAAGTACCAGGGAAAAAAAACAGGGAGAAACCTTTGCGGCCTGGAGTTTGACAAAGATGCCTCAGATCTGACACCAAAAACACAATCAACAGCAGAAGAAATTAATAAGCTGGGCTTCATAAAAAATTAAAAACTTTTG